GGGCAGCGGGGTGAGGAGAGCGCGTGAGACAGGGAACGGGACAGCGAGAGAAAAGGCCGGGACAAGAAAAAGGACAGACGCACAGCAAGAGGCAAAAAGAAAAACGGAGCATAAGGGAGACATGGAGAAAGAATCACAGAATCGTTTAGGGTGGAAAAGCCCTTTAGGATCATCAAGCCCAACTGTTAACCTACCACTGCCGAGTCCACCACTAAACCATGTCCCTAAAAGGCAGCGTCACCTCCCTGTTGGGCAACCAAACCCCTGTCACCCGGGTGACGGGCAGGGATACTCACCAGTAAACTAACGAGGAGCAGAGTAAGAAGCACCAGGGACAGAAGAGCAAAGGCAGAAAGAGGGAGTGGGAGCAGGACAGAAAGAAAACTAAGGACAGGAGGCAGGATGAAGAAAAAACCTGAGATGGGCCGCACAACAGTGATGTTAAAAAAGAATAGGGACAGGGAGCAGGACAGAAGGATACAGTGAGAAACGATGATACAGGGAGCAGGACAGAGCAAAAGAGAATAAAAAAGGAAGAGGGAGCATGAAAGAAATGAGGTTGGGGAGGACAGATAGAAGGACGGAGTAATACAGGGCAAGAGGATCAGGGAGCAGGAGACTCGGACAGAATGAGAGAGAGGGGCACCGAGCAGGACAGAGTGGTAAAGACACAAGGACAGAGGACAGGGAGACAAGGATGGAGAGGGAGAGAGAGTGGCTGAGGCAGGGGGAAGACAGACGGGGTGCAAAGAGCAGCAGAGGTGAGGGGGGAGAGAGAGAGAGGGATGGAGAGCAGGACAGAGGGTTATAAAGAGAAAAGTAAGGCGAGGGAGGACTGAGGAGCAGAGGCAAAAAGGTACAGGGAAAAGGACGGTGAGATGGAGGAAGAAATAGGGTCAGGTAACAGGACAAAAGGACAGACAAAAAGGAAAGGAAGAAGGAAGGAAGGATAAAGATGTGGACAGGGAGTGGGACATACAGAGAGAGAAAAAGTAGGACAGAGAACAGGGGAGAGGGATTGAGTAAGAGAGAGATGTGGATTGGGACAATGAGATGGAGAAGGTAAACACAGTGATGGGCTGCAGGACCTGCTTTTGACACCCTGTCACTCCTGATGTCACTTCCATGGCCTCAAAAATGGGACATGGCACAAAGACAGAGGAACGGGGGAGTGGAAGTAAAGGCACAGGAAACTTTTTAAAAAGAAAAAATGAGAGCAAAATAGTGATTTGGGATGGGTTAGGGGTGGGGAGCAGACAGAACAAGAGCGCAACAAGAGAGCCAGGACAAGGGACAGAAAGCAAGAGGAAAAAAGGGATGGAAAGCTGGAAAGGAACAATAATAGGGTAAGTGCAGCTGTTACCAATAGAAGCAGCATTAGTAGGCTTCTCAATATTGCTTTTTGGTATTTCATGGGGAAAAACGTTGAGCCTAAGACTTCTCACCCATAAGTTCTTGGGGGCTGGGGCAAGAAGGAATGTGACACTCTTAGTAAGTTGCCTGAGAATCACAGCTTACAGTTATTCGATGTCTTCGGGTCTCACAGGATGAGGCAGAGGTATAATTGATTTCTTCTCTGTATCTCTGGAAAGAGCTTTCCTCATATCTGTGGCAAAAGAAAAAAAAAAAGCTATTACAATAAAGGCAGTCACTGCATAAAGCTGTATTGAGTGAACTCTCTAATTATAAAAAGATCATTTTGAATCAAGAAAATTTCCTAGAATCATAAAATATCTCAAGTTGGAAAGGACTCGCAAGGATCGTGGAATCCAACTCCCTGCTCCTCGCAGGACTACCTAAAACTAAACCATACGACTAAGCGTGTTGTCCAGACGCTCCTCAAACTCTGACGGGCTTGGTGCTGTGACTGCCTCCCTGGGGAGCCTGTTCAGTGACCGACCACCCTCTCCGTGAAGAACCTTTTCCTAAAGTCCAGCCTGAACTTCCCGTGACGCAGTCTCATTCTGTTGGTCTCCCGGGAGAGGAGATCAGCACCTCCCCCTCCGCTGCACCCCCGTGAGGAAGCTGTAGACTGCGACAAGGTCACCCCACAGCCTTCTCCCCTCCAAGCTGAACGAAGCAAGTGACCTCAGCTGCTCCTTGCAAGTCGTGCCCTCGAGACCTTTCACCGCCTTGGTCACCCTCCTCTGGGCACACTCTAATAGTCTGATGTCCTTATCGTTGATCAGCGGCAACGTTACCAACAGGAATATAACACTGCGTGAAACTCAACCGGATGGGAAGGAAATGCCAGGCTAAAGGGACAGACACACGATTTAAGGCACCTGCAGCAACGGCAGACATCTGCCCATGGCCCCTGTACTTCACAGCACTCCTGCAGGGAAAATGAATAGCACAAGGACAGAAAAGACACGCAGCACAGCCGCGTAACCCTTTGGGTAGGATACTTAAAAGGGAAGATCATCTAGAAAGAGGAAGCAGCTGGTACTCCAGTTTCGTTAACAGCATTGACACCCACGTACTTGGATTTCCACATTCCTTGCCTTTTAAATTGAAAATGCCACCCAGTTCTCTGCTGCTGCTGACCACTGACCATGGTAAATTTGTAGTTAGGCATCTGAGAAAAACAAAATGTTGAGTCCCCGTTATGGGGAGAAACGAGGGGAGCACTGCCATTCCTTCCCCCATTAACATCAGCAAAAATCCCAGCCACTGGGTGCGAGCATTCCTCAGGGAGAAAAAATGGATATTTTTAGATGTTTTAGATAGAAACTGTGTTTTTATTTTCATTGCACCTACAGGATAAATGTCTTTGTACTTACTGATTTATTCTTGTTTTGTAGTTTATTTTGCCACAGATGCTACAAAATACCTAAACTGCAAGATTTAAGTTTCATAACTGATGTAATCTTCAGTAGGAAAAGCTACCTAAAGGAGTATAAAAAAAAAATCGACATCTACATCAACCACCACCTGAACTTGTTTCATACTAAAAAAAAAAAAAAAAATCATAGAAACAAGCCCAGGAAGCCTCAACGGGAGAATCTTTCCATTGAAGTTGAGGCAGAACAAGTACTTACCATAAGCATCTTCATCTGGCTCCCCACTGCTAGCAGAGTAGTACTCCAACACCGTCCGGTACACGCTGTAGCCCAGTTGCTTATACATATTTACCGCAACCTGATTTGATACTCGCACAAAGAGATCGACGAAAAATCCACCCTTTCTTTGAAAAAATAAAGCCAAAAAAACCACAGTAAGGAGAAGTAGGTGAATGTATTTCTAAATAATAACATAATCAGACTGAGAGCAGGTCTGATGATGTCGTATGCTAACCAAACATCTTTCACGCTGTAATAGCAGACACACTCCTTTACCACGGGACAAATCCAGTACAGGCACAAATTTAATCTTATTTTTGTCACATGACCGTTCTTCTACACCAGCCAGTAGGTTCAGAATTACAAATGGAAAGAACAGGATAAACTAAATACCCACACAAGCCTCATATCCACAAGAAATGATTAATTTTTTTTTCCCCCCCACATTTTAGATTGCATTGGTTAGGGGACTGCCTGCTCCAAAGTACATGGCAGGGGGTGGAATCACTCACAACATTCAGTTGCCTACCAGGAGACAGCCCATCTCCTCGCGAGGCAGATTTTGCAAAACATTGCACTATTTTCCCATCTTACCAGCTATGACGGGGCTGCCCTACCAGCACGAGCTGGGGACATTCCCCTGTGGGCTCATTTGACGCTAAATTAAATTTTCTGCAGGTTCCGCAGAACCAAGCACGAGACAGAAAGCGAGCTGAGGGACTGTCTACCGTACAAACTCTGTTCAAGGTTGTGCTTGAGGGAATCGCACAAAGCCCACGATTACTCAACGAGTATGTTGGAGGCCCTTTGGGAAATGGTGCTGACACTTGGCAAAGCTCTTGTCCTGTCAAGAACAGGACCTTTCATACAGCATCTCTGTCGGAATTCAGGCTGTCAAGTCAGCTTTCAGAGAAACCCTGAGATTTTGAACTGCCAAGCACCACGCGTAGTTTTTGTTTCCTAACTATGGGGAATTTAACAAATCAGAAAACCACTAAAAGCAAAATTCCGGGTCTCTTTCATGCAAATCAAATATCTAAGCCACGGACAGGTATCTGTAGAAAGGTTCAAAAGATAAAGATAAGCACAGTACTCACTTTTCTGAAATTTCTTCCAGTAGTTCCATCAATTTAGCAGCCAAACCCAGCCGCCGAAATTCTGGTGCAACTGAGAGTGCAGTAACGTGTCCGTGCCACTCCTCCCTAGCCACAGAGCCTTCCGCCTTACCCATGACTGTGAACACACAGAGCATCAGCGCAGCAGTGCCTCCGGCACAACGCACCACCCACAGCCACACGCCTTCGCAAAGGGACCACGTGGGGCATGAACACACATCGCCAAGGACTGCGGCACAGGCTCAAACAGGGATGTCTACACTATCACTCTGTGATTCAGCAACCGCTAAAAATCACTTTGCTCAAGTGCTACAGCAGCTTCATGACTAGCGTAAAAAAAATATATACAATTTTTGAAAATTCATTGTTTGAGGCTTGACTTCCAAATGCAAGTTTGAAGCAACTCCCATGAGTCTGAGTAGAAATCAGGATCTGACTAAGATAAGGGAATAACAGAGGGCCAGAAGCCGAAAACTAACTCACCATCCTGGCAACTATTGGAGACTTTTGGTGACTGTGGGGGAACAGACCTTGGGAAGCTTTGCTGATCTGGCAGTAGAAAGCTAAGGCCCTGCAAACACGGTGTGTTAAAAAAAACAAACCAAAAGGGGATGTTGTTGGGGGCGGGGGGGGGCTTCTTTGTAGTTCCTCTCCTTTCTACATAGAGCGAAACCAGTGCTAGCTGACTAATGAATAATTCCCACGTCCACATGGTACTCTTATAAACACCACAGTTGCTGCTAATAAGCAACTGATGTGGTGGGTACAGAGAAACCTTCTGTACAGCAAATACTTTAAGCTTTACTATTTTAAATACTTTACTTCCCGGGTCCCTGCAAAGACCCTTATTCTGCCCCCACCTCCCCCCCAAAAAAGGGAAGAAAACCTGGAAGGAACAAACCAACCAACAGCCCTATTTAGAATGATTTCTGAAAAACATGAACAAGCAGCAAATAAGCAAATGACACCCAGACCCAGAGCTTTCCCTCACAAGACAAACACAAGACCCAAGCCCAGTGTATTGACTTACGGACAACTGACAGCGTGTGAGGTCAGAGCTGAGTGAAGGGACTTAATTCCAGGATTACCGAAACGCTTGTACATGTACATTCACCTGTATAAAACCTGAGCAGATGTTACCACAGCCAAGACCCCTTGCTGCGCTGGGAACATCAAAAACTACTGCTATGGGCGCTATGTCATACCCTCACACACTTATGGAATGGGAATATGGGAACGGGAAGATGCTATGTAATGCTCCTCTGCGCTGCTGGGCATGCGGAAGATGCAGAGAGGAAGAAAAGCTCCTGCGTTACACCCCCCCCCCC